AAGCAGCATCTAATTGTCAGTGTTTGCTAGGTAACATCTGGTAGCCTAAGATTAAGTACAGAAATTCCTAGAAAACTAGCTCACTGGATTTGATAGCCAGAATGTTAGAGGCTGATTTCCGCCTGAACTAAATATTTTTATTCTTTACTCTAAATCTTTGATCAGATACAGCAGTTAGATATAAAAACGTTCAACAAGAACACATAGTAAATTGAAGGAAAGAGAATAGGACCCAGGAGTAGGCATGAAAGACAAACGAGGGAGAGAGAGGCAGGACTACTGTTTCCTCAGCCCTGAAAAACACGGACATTCAGAAGAATGTTTCCATGAAATATGTTTCTAGTTTTTTCTCTTCTGTCTCGTAAAGCAGAATTCTCCCAGTTATTTTTTGGAGAAAAAGTTATTCAATGTTAATCTGATTTAGATCTCAGCACTGCTCATGTAAGTCAGGATCCATTGATTGGTTCAGTGAACTAGTCAGCTTTATACAGATAAACTGAGAAAGGAATTTGGTCCCAGTTATAGATCTGAAGTCTTCCTGAAAGTAAGATATATGTTTGGAGGCTTATTTCCCCCTTCCACTTTTGTGACATCTTCACATTTATCAGTAACTCCCTTTTATTAGTTGTGAGTGTTATCGTATTTGGATGGTTGGGTAGTTCATTTCCTCGAAACCAAGCTCAACGCTAGCAGTACTGAGGGAACTAAGATTGCAAAGGGATAAAAGACTTCTTCCTTTAAAATAGTCTTCCTTTCTTAAAAGAAGTCTAATGCAGGGAAGGTCCTACAAGTTTAATCAATACAATATTACTGAAAACATCTTTCAAAATCCTTCAGCACTTTTTCAGTATGTTCTCATTTTTACTGCTGTTCGAGCCATCTATTTCAATATTCAAGTACTAAATTCTAGTAATAAAATAGTATTGAATTATTTTTTGGGAAAGATTAAGATTACTCTTTGACAAAACATTACATAATAATCCAAAGCTTGGGATTTTTTTGCTAGATCTTTGATTCTGCTTGTGTAATAGTTGGAATTTGTTTTCATGGCACAACAGATTTTGGATTTCTTCTTGGTATCTTTTATTAAAAGTGCTAAAATAAGTGTCACAAAAACCACATTGTCTGATTACATATTTTATTGATAGAGGTGAAAGCATCGTGGGGTGTGTGATTAATTTTCATATTAAGTAACACCATGTCAGGGTCTAGAAACTTTCTACTTTCTCCTTGTCAAAGAAAACATTTAAAGGTGACATGAAAATGAGAGAGAGGGGTGGGTGTGTAGAAGAGCTGCTTTGAATCTTGAAAGTGGTTTTCATGCCACCTTTTCTCCTTACATACCCTAGGGTTATAGGAAAGTGGCTAAGGCATCTCTCCATACTCCAGCATGCTCCAGTTGATAGAACAGCTTTTGTAGATGCTAGACAAGCAATTTTGTGATGCAGCCAGATAGTTCTGGACATACGTGGTTATAAGAAAGCTGCTTTAAGTCACTTTACCACCTTTGGAGCAGTGCTGAGCACAGCTTATATTCAGGCAGCAATGGTTTTAGTGCCCTCTTTCTTTCATGTTCTGTGGATTACGTCTCCTGTTTGCTTTAGTTCTTTTTTATTATTCAATGTAGAGTTGAAGGTATGGCAAGTATTCCTGCCCTTGAGAATTACAGTGAACGAGAATGTTTTCTGTCCCTTTGCAAGCTACCTAAGGCTTAGATATGGATCCAGAAGGATATGCTCCAGAAGGAACAATGGATTATGTTCCTGCTTGTTCCATCCTTAGAACTAACAAGTAGGGTCTGGATTTTGATTGCAGTTTTAATACTCTGTGGAATGTATTTGATGTAGATGTGTAGAAGCTTCTTCTTATTTTATGTTGAGGGACTGTCCATGATAGGTACTGCAAAAGGAACTACCAATTTGTTAAGACTGGGTCATGGTAACCCTCTCTACACTGGAAGTCATTAGCTTGAATTGTGAATTGGCAGTGTAGTGGAGAGTTCTGGTGGAGTCCTCAGTTTAAAATCAAACTCTGGTACGAGGACACTGACAGTAGAGATCTGTAAAAGCAACGATTTGGAGAGAATGGAATAGGACAGCAGTTCATTGTCTCTTCTGGTGTCAGAGCTAGACAGCAGCAGATGAAACCAGCAGACTGACAGATGGTTGAAACAAAGCTACCTTCATACAATAGTTCACTACAGCGTGACATTTTTTTGTAATGTATTGGAAATGCTCAACATTTGTATGGGTTCAGGAAGTGATTAGCAAACTCATGGAAGATGATTCTGAAAGCAAAGATTAATCTGCTCAGGATTCATTGTGCCATGATTTACTAGATGCTGGCAGAGCATAGTGGGGATGTTTGCCCAGTTTTATACCCTTTCTTGGTGTCTGCTACTGGTTATTATTGAAAACAGAACACTAATAGCTGAGGACTTTCGATTTGACTTATTTCAGTATCTTTGCAAAATCAATGAATCATAGAGTTACAGAATATCCTGATTTGGAAGGGACTCACAAAGATAACCTAGTTCCACACAGGAGCCCCCAAAATCTAAACCCTATGTCTGAGAGCATTGTCTAAATGCTCCTTGAACTCTAGCAGCTTGTGGTCACGACTGCTGCCATGGGGAGCCTGTTCCAGTGCCCAACTTCCCCTGTGGTGGTGAAACTTCTCCTAATCCCCAATCTGACCCTCCACTGATGCGGTTCTTGCTGTTCACTCGGGTGTGTAACTGTCACCAGAGAGCTGCCCCTCTGGTCCCCTCTTCAGGAGCCACCATAAGGCCTCTTCTCAGCTTCCTCTTCTCTGGTACCTCAACCGCTTCTCATACATCTTGCCCTTCAGACCCTTCACCTTCTTCAAAGCCCTCCTTTGGATGCTCTCCGATAGTTTTATGTCCTTATGCTGTGTCACCCAAAACTGCACACTGTAATCAAGGTTTATGCATATAATCACTTTAAGGTTGCTGTTTGTATAGTATGTGTTAGATACCACTCCTAGGTTGGCGTTATGCATGTGGTCTAAATGTATCTTTATTGAAATAATTAAAATACCTACAATCAAGTTGTGTTTTGTTAAGACTGTATTCTTATGTTGTGTTCATTGTATTTTATTTCTTGATAAATGTTATACTTATTTTTGTTTTCCATAATATAATGAACATGTTAGATTGGAGGATAATGAATTTTTATGTCAGTGATGATCTATATCTAAACCTACCAATGTGTGTTTTGATAGCTAAAAAGATAAAAGGAAAGAAGCATTTAATAAATTTGTAGTTTCTCTGGATGCAAAAAAGCAAAAGTCTGAATGGTAGGCTGGTAAAAAGGTTGATTGCCTGTATCGCATAAATCCTCAAGTGTCCCACTCCTTTTATTTTGCTGTGTAACAGTTCTGAAAACAACTCAGAAGAATTTCTATTTTCATTTTCTAGCAAATTTAGAGTGCACACATACATTTGGTGTTAGTTCTTTATCTTGCCCTACTTTTGTTTATTCCTATTTTAGCTTTTTAATTTGGAATTCAACTTCTTCAGCTTTGAAAGGTATTGAATATTTCACTGTCTCAGATTACTGTATTTTTAGACAAAATGGAAGCACAGTGTGCTGTAGGTGCAGCCTGTACTGTATTGTCTTTCTTCCAAGTTATTCGCATGACATTGTGAAGACTAGGCACTGCATTTAGAGAGTCAGTGTTCTTTTTTAGCCTTCCTAGCGTGTGATTAAGTGGGAGTTGCTGCCTGTTGTACTATGAGTCGTGTGACAAAAACTAAACCTGTGACAGGTGCTACAGTATGTATATCAGAAAATTTGCTTCCCAAACACTAATTATTCCCAAAGTATTTTACTGCACACAAAGCACAGATAACAGAGTCAGCAAATTTATCTCAGTTTTATCATTGTGTTGTAAATTAGGGTTTGTCTCTTACCATTGTGTAAAGAGAAGATGGTGAAAATTCAAGTGCAGCAAAATCTATTGATCCATCACCTCTGTAATATGGTGTTTTTTTCCCATTTAATTCTTCCAATCAAAATGCTGGAAATATATGTTATTCAAACAGTCACTGCTGAATTTCACTACTGCAAATGAATGAGCTGTTGTCTAGTGACAGAACAGGGTAGGAAACAGTGTTGTTTCTCCAGGTGACTGTAAAAAAAATAGAAGCATGTTGTGCCTGAATAGCCCAGACTCAACTTGGTGATATGCTTCAACTATTAATTTTGGATGTTAATTTGTTATGATTATAGCTTATCAAACATTATATTTCTGGTTGCTGTGGGAGAAGAATGGACTCTCAGCCACAGGAACTGTTAATAAGTGAAAGCATTCAATTTTTATCCCTCTCAAACCTTCAGTTATATATGCAGTGAAAACATACCTGTGCTTTGTTCCAGCCAGCACTTTTCCACTGTATCCTTCCACTGTGAAGGCGGAGAACCTTTGTGATAAAATGTTATATCCTACATTACCAACGTTAGGTATTTAGATGCTGAAGTACCAGAATCTCTCTATGTAAGAGTTTGCAGTTCTGATGATAACCTGTTGCTCAGTTAAGTCTTTTGCTACAACTCTAGCAATCATCAGAGTGAGCGTATTGTTAATACTAGACACAGAATGTCTCCATCTCAAATAGTGATTGGAACTAAGTTTTAGAAGCTTCTCCTTTTCATTGTGACAATTGCCCAGGAATCCATTCTGAGAACAGACAATTATTTAAAAAATGTATTCAAAATTTTTAGTTTATAGAGTGACTTACAAAGAAAAAGAAGAACATTGAATGTTGTAAATGAAATTCTTAGCAACAATTTTTGCATTGTAAACTAGCTTAAGAAACTGTTTATTTTCTCCCTTAGGATAAACATATTGTATATTTCTAGTTTTCTGACAAATGAAAACATTAATGTGATTTAACTTATACTAGCAGTGATTCATGGCTCTAGTTGTTTGGCTTGTGTATAGTAATACTGATTTGTATTTTTATTTTGTTTCTGTAGGACTATTTAACCATTCACAAGTATGGCAATGCAGCCAGAAATGATCTCTGGAACACATTGTCAAAGGTAAAATGCTTTAAAACTATTGCACTGAGGATGAAGCAGGAATATACTGTGGTATTTCTCTTGGTAAGCTTAGGACTGAATAGAGCATAATGAGATCTTCAGACCCCAGAGCAAATTTAAAAATCGATGCAAAGAAATTCCATTAGAGTTAACAGAACAACAGTGGCAACACTGAAATATGCTTTCTTCAGTATTTTAGTTCTTTATTATGTCAGAATATATTTCCTTGCTTGTGCTGTGTCACTGATGTGCAGTAAAAGCTAGTTTGTGGAACCTACTGTCATTGCCTTTAGTGGCAGCAGGGTGAGGCCCATAAGCTGGGAAGTGCATGAAAATGCTGCACCTTGGCATTTACATCAGCTGTGTTTTTTATTTTTGTATGGAATTATGACTGGTGTGAAAGAAAAAATTACTAAAGCTTTAAAGTTTACTCTAAACAGGTAACTATTTACTGTAATATGATGTGTCCTGCAGAGGATTCTAGTTTCTATGTCCATGTTCCTTACACTGCTGCACCCACACTTGGTTTCTAGTCTCAGTTCCAGTATGTATTTAAGGGCAGAGCTTGAATTTCAAAAGAGGGAGCCAACCATGCCTAGATTACTTGTGTACAGAGCTACTCTGGACACCTCAGAAGAGAGACAGAGTGTAAGAGAATGTAGAGGACAGAAAGGAAGTTTGGGCACAAGTGCCAACTCAAGCCGTACATAAACATGGCTGTCTAGTAATTATTGACACCAAAACCAGCATCCAGCTTGAGTTTAAGATATATATGTTTATCTAGATTAGCAGGTATCTATGAGTCTTCCAGCTACCACAAGAGATATCCATAGCTGCTCTGTCTCTACCAGTTCTGTGAAGATGCATTGAATACTGTAGGACATCTCAACTGACATTTGTTAAATAAGAACAACTAGAGTTCCAAAAGCCTACTCAGTATAATCAGCAATATAATCAGCAAGGTATAGACAGTGATTCAATTGACTAGCCACTAGATGATGAAACTGAACCACTAGGTGCTTTAAGATGAGCCCTGGTATCTTCCTCTGGTAAAGCCTTTGGGGAAATGCTGGGCAATGGGAGGGGAGGGGGATGATCATATTCTTGAAAGAGCAGAAGAACCCACAACTAATAGAACAAAAACAAGACTTCATTCTGGACCCTAAATACTGGGGTTACATGTATGCTTAATTCTATTGTTAAGCCTAATAATTACTTCTTTCTCACACATATAACCATGTTTGTTGTCAGCCTCTTTTTTTCTAATATTGCTTCTCCAGTTCAGAAGACTTCTTGCTGATTTCTGCTCATATTCATCAGATGTTAATTCGTCTGTGATCAAGGGCTACTCAGCTGTTAGACATATTTCTGTCACTGTATAGCTACTGATGCCTGTCATTCTCATATCCAGACTCATCTCCCATGAAGCTATAGCATCTCTTTTTATTTCAGATGAAAGTCTAACTGTAAACCAACAGCTCATTGACACGCTCTATCAAATATGAACACATTAATCCTACAGTGTTATGACATAGAGTTTTTGAAGGAGCTGGGGATATTGTTGTATGCATGGTCTCACTTTGGACAGGAGGGATAGTATTTTCAAATAAGGGCAGACATTTGATTTTCAGAACAGAGAAGCTCTATATTTTCAGAAATCAAACACTTTGAAATGTGCCTTACTGCAAATACCCACACAAATACTGTTAAAAATATGTGGGTTTTTTTAACATTGTTTGGTCAATAATATCTTCTGGAAATAGACAACCAGTACTTCTGTGGTGCTTGTAAACACCCTATAAAGTGGATTGTTTCTTCCTTTCCAGCAAAAGTGCTCTAATGATTTGTAAAAATGTTGACTTTTCTCTATGGAAGATTGCTCGATATTTAAGATACACAGAGAGTGTTGGTGTAATTTTGCAGTTTGTGTATATTTACTGATTATGAAGGTGGGTGTGTGTGCATGTGTGATATTTATGAAACCACTGAAATGAATTATATTCATCTAGGATGGAAAAAAAAAAAAAAGTTTTACACGTTGGATTCTGGTTCTGCTTCAGCATACCAAAACTTTTCTTTTTTCTTGAAGGCTTTAAAAAGGGTTGGAAAATCTGTAAATATCCAAGAAGTAATGGATCAATGGACGCTACAGATGGGTTATCCTGTTATCACCATCTTGGGAAATGAAACTACGGACAATGTCATAGTAATCTCCCAAGAGCGTTTTGTTTATGATAGTGATACTAAAACCAAGGATTCTGGCCTTGGAGACAACAGGTACTTATATTTCTCAACGAATATTTTTTAAGAGTCTGTAGTTCTTTACGTGCTTTTCGGTGTATTTTTGTAGAGTTGCCTCTGCAGGAAGCTGTGCTTTGCATGGAATTAGTAGCATGTTGTGGCACTTCCATTTGAATTTTATTGAAGATTAGACTAGTTAAAAGAATTGACCAAAATCATTAGAGTGATAGAACAAGATAAAGCTTTAATGTGTCCATTTGCATTCTGACAGCTCTATTTCTGACTTCTATGCTGTCTTATGTCATGCTTCTGTTTCCTCTTCATCTTTTTTGATTTTGTCACACTTCATGAAATAACTTGGAATATGGTTGGAAGGTCCGATATTTTTTTAAGAATTGCTTGGATTAGACTTCCTCCACGTTTCTAGGTTAAGTAGGAGATGTTACCACATATTGGCTAGGTATATCACTTGACCTGGAAGGCATCAAGAGCTATACTGGACTGCTATACATGACAGGGAGTTCCAGTTGTTCCAATTTTTAAATCAGCAGGTTTGCAGGTCCACTGACCAAAATCAAGAAGCACTGACACATCTCCACCTCTGTCCTTTTTTGACTTCTCATATTGATTCCTTGCCAATCTCAGGTGACTCCACCCCATTCCTTTGTCCCAGGAACAAACTGATGTTCCTTGATCACACTGGGGAATCCTCATCTTGTTCAAAGCAATTCTGCTGTGATATTTTAGTGCCAAGCAGTTAGAGCTGTTTGTAGGGAATTACAATTCATCCTTAGAAGCTTCCACATTCATTGCTTCTTGCTTAGTGTGAAAGAAGGCATACTCTGAACCTTGAGTTCTCCATGTTTGTCCCATAGATTTAAATCATTAATACTGAATTTTGCTTGATGCATCTGAAGTTTATAGAATATTCCTGGCTAAAAATATAAAATATAATTACATATACTGGGAAATATTTATAACTAACTCATTGTCTTTTTATAAAACAAATACTGTAGAACTCAAACATGACACAGTATTTTTTTTTTTTTTTCCTGGCCGCATTGGAACAATCTAGTATGGTATTAAGTATTTAATTTCTGCACCCATGTATTTCCATATAAAATATTAGTGGATTTATTACTCAGAAAACAGATACTAATATTTTTTGATTGCTTAAAACAGAGATGTTAAGCCTTCTAAGTATTGTGGAGATGTTAAACAGATTTGTCGGGTAGTCAGCATTGATTGTATTAACTGCTACTGTAATTCATGAGTAAAGACTACTGGGCATGAAAACATTTTGTACGGTAGAATATTAGGAGTGAGAAGTAGACTCTTAATAGTTTTATTTTCACACACGACATTAATTCAGAATTCATAGAATCACAGAATTGCAGGGGTTGAAGGCACCTCTAGAGATCATTGAGTGCAATTCCCCGCTAAAGCTGGTTCCCTACAGTGGATTGTACAGGTAAGCATCCAGATGGGTCTTAAATACCTCCAAAGAAAGAGACTCCAGCAACCTGTTCCAGTGCTCAGTTACCCTCACAGTAAAGAAATTCTTCCTTGTATTTGTGTGGATATTCCTATGTTCAAGTTTTTGGTCATTGTACGTTGTCCTATCACTACACGCCACTGAAAACTCTGGCCTCATCAGATTACCCCCCGCACTTTAGATATGTATAAATATTTATCAGATCCCCTCTCAGTTTTCTTTTCTCCATGCTGAACAGACCCAGGTCTCTCAGCCTTTCTTCATATGAGAGATGCTTCAGGCCCTTTATCATTTTTGTGGCCCTCCACTAGAGTCCTTCTAGGAGATCCCTATCTTTTTTTGAATTGAGAAGCCCAGAACTCTGCACGGTTTTCCAGTAGCCTTACCAGAGCAGAGTAGAGGGGGAGGATCACCTCCCTCCATCTGCTGGCTACACTCTTTTTAATGCACTCCAAGATACTATTGGCCTTTTTGGCCACAATGGGACACTGCTGGCTAATGACCAGCCTGTTATCCACCAGGACCCCTATGTCCTTCTCTGCAGACTACCTGTCCAGCAAGTCATTCTCTAAACTGTACTGGTGCATGTGGTTGTTCCTCTCTAGGTTCAGGACTCTTCACTTGCTGTTGTTGAACTCATAAGATTCCTCTCTGCTCAACTCTCCAGACTCTTTAGGTCCTGTTGAATAGCAGCACAGCCTGCTGGCATGTCAGCCACTCCTCCCAGCTTTGTATCATCAGCAAAATGGCTGAGAGTGGACTCCATCCCATCATCCAGGTCCTTGATGAAGAAGTTGAACAAGACTGGACCCAGCACCAACCCCTTGGGCACACCACTAGGTACAGGTCTTCAGACTATGCCACTGATCACAACTCTCTGAGCTATGCCAGTCAACTAGCCAGTCAATGGTGACTCAGCAGAACAGGCCGCAATACTGACCCCTGGGGAACACCACTGGTGAGCAGTTGTCAGCTGGATTTAACTCCATGCACTACCACTCTCTGGGCCTGGTCATCCAGCCAGTTCTTTACCCAGCAAAGAGTGCACCTGTCCAAGTCATGGACTGCCAGATTTTCTAGGAGAATACTGGGGAGGGCAATGTCAAAGGCTTTGCTGAAGTCTAGGTAGCCTGTCACCAACCTGTCCTTCCCTAAAAAGGATGTGGCCATCGTGACAGCATTCTAGTCATGCTGTCCCACCATGTCTCCATGATCACAAGATCATGGCTCTGTGATTACACACATCTCTAAATCTTCCTGTTTATTTCTCATGCTGTGTGCATTAGTATACAGGCACTTGAGGGAAGAGGGTGCAGGTGTCCCTAGAGGGATACTAGAAGATTTCATGTAGGCATACTCACTCTTGGGGTAGATGGCCTTCTGGCTTTTGTCATTAGAGGCAGCTAAGAAACATCTGTTACTGTTGTCTTGGCTCATTCCTCAGTGTGTTGCAATGGCATTGCCGTTACGTACCCTGCCTCTCAATTCCTTCAGTTTAAAGCACGCTTCACTAAGTTAGTCAGCCCGTTCTCATAAATTGCCTTTTCCCTTCTAGACAGGCTGATTCCATCCTCCCTAACAGTTTATAATCTTCGTAGAAGGTTCCATTATCATAAAACCCCAAACCTTTACGATGGCACCAGCCACATAGGTAGGACTTATGTGTATTATGCATCTATTCCTGGCTTCCCTCCTTCTTCTGACTGGTAAAATAGAGGAGAAGATAACCTGGGCTCCAGTGTTTTTCAGTTGCCCTCCCAGGGCTTTATAGTCCTCTTTGATTCTTCTCACATTCTGCCTTCCAGCATTGTTTGTACCTACATGGAACAGCAACAGGGGATAGTAGTCTGTGCTCTTGGTGAACTGTGGCACCCTTTCATCAGTGTTTCGAATCTCTAGACATCTTGAGACTACCTATCAGGCTGGCAGAGGGGAACCTTGGTCACTTTTAAAAGTGACCCACCACAAGCACCTGGCACTTCTTTTTATGAAACTTCAATCCATTATTTGGAGATAATGTGGATGGGTAGTGTTCTGCACCAACAGAGAAAAATATGCTGAGTTTCTTAAGTGATTTTGCATAAACATTTTACTATAATTGTAAGTTCTAAACAATGTGAAATTCTGTTCAATGTAGAGCACAGAAAAAGAAGGTATCAGAATGGGCTCTGTCAGGAGTTTATTGTCCAAATAGACAATACAGTACATATGTGTATCTTCTTTGGCAAGTCTGTTTACTGTCTTCTTCCTACTGTCTCAGATTTGTTTTTCTCTGTGCTTCCATGGTATTGTAACCTCAAATGAGAGAGGTCCCTAGCCTAGGGAAGGCTTTGCAGATGAAATGTTTACTCCAGAAAGTTAAATGACGGAGCTAGTTTGCTACCTCCCAGTTAGTTATTTGAAAGTCATTTTATGTAAACATAAATAGCAAAGAGTGGGAGCCATATGCTTTTAGCAAGAGATGAAACTTTCCTATTCCATTCATCTTTCAAAAAGTCACTCACCATTTTATATTAAAGTCCTATGACTTAGTTATAAATAAGAGTCTAAGGTGTTAGAAAAATGAGCTTACCATTCACTGCTGTGCATGAGATTTGATATGCACAACGCCCTCATGTCATTAAATGTCCTTTCCTGCCATTGAATTAAGAAGAAAAGCAAGATTGACAGACTGAAAATAAATTTAATCTGTCAGCAGTTCTTTTTGTTATTGTTGTTCTTTTTTTTTTCATTGAAAAAGTCACTTTTTTTCAATTCTTGTGAAAGTGGTAGATAGGGAAAATCACACTAATGGGTTGTCATTTGATAATTCATGATATATTGCTCCCGTTGTTTTTTTTTTGACTTTGCAAGAACTGGATCTTGTGTGAAATGATAAAGGGGGCTAGTTTTTCTGCAAAGACACAATGTGGGGCAATAACTGGAATTGAAAAAAACTCTGATGGACACTTGGAGCAGTGTCCTGAGTCTGCTGGTCATTATGGCCAGGGAATTGCAAGGGTTTGTTGGAACCAGATAGCTCAGATAGGTCTTATGGGAGGCACAGAAATGTACATAACATGAGGCTGAAGGCTTGGGGGTTATGTGTCAGTAGCCTATCACTTAGTGCAGTAAAGTCAGTGTTCAGACTCCTTGTGTGACCCATGAATTCAGCCTTAGATGGATGGCTTCCTGGGAAACCATAATAGTCACTACAAACAGTGGGGAGCAGATTGCATTTATGCCATATTTGGGGCCCTGCTCTTGCAAAGCACGTGTCATTGACTTTGTTAGGATAGTTTGTCTCTCAATTAATCATGATTATAATTTTAAACACTGTAAATAGTAGGACTGTACAAAACACAGCAAAATGTACTGGTTCAAGCCTTTCCAGGAGTTTATCATCTAAATACACAACACAGTATGTACTGGAAGGCTCAAGGGAAGGCTCTTAAAGCATATATCTGCCTCACAGTCATAAATTATCCAGAGGTGGGGCTGTAGTTTAGCATGGCACAGCAATAAATGGGTGCATTAAAAAGAGCATGGACAGCAGATGGAG